CGACAGTCACGACAAAAGTGACCACAACTACACCATTGGCCAATGGTGTAGTTGTGGTCGTTGGTGTAGTTGTGACTCTTGTTGTGGTCGTTGGTGTAGTTGTGACTCTTGTTGTGGTCGTTGATGTAGTTGTGGTGACTCTTGTTGTGGTCGTTGGTGTAGTTGTGGTAACTCTTGTTGTGGCCTTTGGTGTAGTTGTGGTGACTCTCGGTGTGGTTGTGGTGGTCGGGAGTGTTGTGGTCGTTTTAGTAGTAGTTGTTATATTTGGCAAAGCGGTAGTGCTTTGGTTATGTGGGATCAGATTCTTGAGATGTATGCGAACATTAGGGTCGGTTTTGTTTGATTGTGAGCTTTCGTTGCGCACAGCGTCTGGACGTATTCGTTGTATAGCCGGAGCTGATTCCTCTTCATCCTCTTCATCCTTACTTGATTTTAATGCTTTGTCCTCTTCATCGTCATCACCGCCACCAACAGTACAATTGCTTTTCGATGTTGGTTTATCTATAATGATAATATATAACAATTTATTCCTACTTGGGAACAATCCTATTATAGTATTAGTGTAGTGAGTTGTATTAATATGATAATTTTAATCATGTTCGTCATTTGATTACTAAATATATAAAATTAATAATTATGGTATGAATAAATATCATATTTTGTACCATTAATTCTGTCTTATTATTATAATAACAAAATATAATTACAATTATATAATTTATTTGAAATAATCTAATGTATATATTGATATAAAAGAAATTCAATAATAAGTATTATTTCTTAATTTTATTATAAAAATTGATATAAATATAGTAATCTTTTTCTTCTTCAAAGGTTTTTGGCAATACAATTTATGCCAAAGTTTACTGGACAATAATGTATTATGAATGTAATGTATTGTAATTACTTACAGAAAAATAAACCATAAAAATAACGTTAATAAAAAGTATAGATATATTAATATAAATGCTAAATTCTGTGCCAAATTTCTAGCAATAAAATCCCAATACTCTACAGAATACTACTAAAAGCTTAAGTATTTTTTTCATGAAAAAAATCGTTATAATCAGGGATTAAATAAAACGCTGATTTTATATGTGATTTATCTATAAATATGTTTCATATATAAAGTTAGGATAAAAATAGCAAAAGAATTTATAAAAAAAAATTCAAATTTTTTAAAATTAATTTTGCAATTTTTTAAATAAAAGTCGCGTTGATTTTATTAAACAGGTATTTGATAAAAAAAATTTAGTATTCTAAAATCCTATAAAATTTTTATTCCTTTGAATATTGCGAAACAAATGCAACTTTATTAATAAATAGATTCAGTAAAAAGTAAAGTATTTGTATTTTCTTACTTATGTTAGGAGTTGTAGTAATAGTACGAGTAGTTGTTGTCAACGATATATTCACATTATTTTGCTTATCTGTCANACAAATGCAACTTTATTAATAAATAGATTCAGTAAAAAGTAAAGTATTTGTATTTTCTTACTTATGTTAGGAGTTGTAGTAATAGTACGAGTAGTTGTTGTCAACGATATATTCACATTATTTTGCTTATCTGTCAAATAAAATACAGATTCAATTTATTAAACATTTTAACGCTAGATTAAACATTGAGTATAGAGAGTGCAATATTCTATATATTTAATATTGAACTTGGTCCGGATAATAGGATTTTTATTGACTAAACTTCTATTTTTATCGCGAGTATTGTATGGTATATAAAGTTAAAACAGTTAGGTTTGTGACGAATGTTATTGACCTATCTGTTAGATTTAACTTACAAAAAATTACACCATAAGTTGAATTACGGTAAATAAATGTTGTTGTGTGCATATAAAATTAATTTAATTAAAATTACTAAAACATGCTGTGCTTTTATAAGTTATAATGTAGACTATAACATTAATATTGGCGATTGCTATCCATGTAATTATTCAAAATAATTGCTAATGTTAATTAAATGAACATTTATATTTAAATAGTAATCCTTTATTTAAAAAATAATTTTTAAATAATTACATGGTAAATTACGTTAAATTATAGGTAACGTATAATTAAAATGAATATTACAATAAAGTTACATTCCAAATTAGTTGATATATTTACCATTCGCGTTGGTACTATTAAAAGCTGTATTATTGACATTTCTAGGGTTGGTAGTGGCATTTATAGTTTTTTGCACCATGACCACACCATTGTCGACTAAACTGGACGATGACTGTGCGTACGTAGTAACGTGAGATTTGGTCACTGTAGGACCACTGGTCACTGTAGTAGCACGAACCGTTGTAGGACCGCTGGTCAGGTTACTTTGCTTTTGGTTTCTATCCACTCTAGCGTCTTCGAATTCGTCTAGATCAAAATCTTCTGGTTTTGACTAAACATATACAACATTTTTAATTATACAAGTAATAAACTTGTTTCACATTTATGTGACAAGCTTGATAGAATTACTAACAGTTAGCTGACCGCTTTTGCCATGCGGTACGGGCCCACACGGGGTAGTTGTTACCATGATTACGGGTCCGCACGGGGTAGTTGTTACCACGTTTACGGGTCCGCACGGGGTAGTTGTTACCACGTTTACGGGTCCGCACGGGGTAGTTGTCGGGACTGTTGCTTCAATCACTATGAAATCAATGTCATGCCTGTTATGACTATTTATAGCAATTCTCGACTTATTAATTGGTATAACACTAGCTACAAAAAAGTACACAAAAAAATCATTTTAACAAAAGGGGTTTTGTGTACAAATATTGACCAAAATGCCAAAAATTAAAGATTTAACAATTTTATATGTTAAGAATTTAAAAATTATTGTAGTCTTAATTAAAATCGATGTGTGACATTTATACGAAATTTTAAATTTGTTATCTAACTTTTGTCACATACATCAAGATTTAAAAATGTTTTTAGAGTTGGATTCCTCTCATGTGACATATTATATAATATATTTATACATAACTTCCACCACAAAAAAGTGATCACTCGAGAGAATCTGGACATATGAAATATATCACTTCACTACTTATGTACATTTATTTTATAACAATAATTCCCAATTGCATGCTATCACACAAATGGACATACACCTTTATAGTGTTGCATAAGCCGCATTACACCAGTAAATAAATGATCAAAACAATAATTGATTTAATTACTAATACATCAGTGCAATACCTGAAAAGCTAGTCCTGTTGTCATCAGCTCCGGTGGTTTTATTGTCACAAGTATCAGCCGATTCTGTAAATATTTGCATTATTTGTTAGAATATTTTTTGTTAACAATGCATTTGTAAAGAGTTGTAAATACTTTATAAGAGTTGTTTACATTAATGATACTATATTCTAAACAATATTCTTTCTAATCTAATAATAACACAATTATGTAATTAATTCTAAACAATTGGTAAATATAATTAAGTTTGCTAAATAAAACTAAAAATTTTGTTTTGTAATAAAAAATAACAATAACAAAGTATACTATAGAAGTTAGTTTATTATACTTATAGGATTGGATTTTTATATAATAATTTGCGTGTTTCATTTTAGTACAGTATTATTATAAATTTTATTATAATAATTTTGAAATTAAAAACCACAACTAAAATAATTATTTTTGTTATAAATGATTTAAATACCGTTTATTCTGATGTGTGGGGTAGTAGTGGGCGCCGGTGTTGTACTGGCACGGCCAATGGTAGTAGCCTGGTGGTTACAATCGTCGCCCTCTTTCGACTGCAGCATTATATCGCGTACGACTGAAGCGTTAATAACCTTAAGGTCGGGCACCGGTAGGGTATAGTTGGTGGCTATACCGGGTCCGGACGCGTGACTCTGGTTGGGAATGTTAGGCAATATCGTCTGGTTTTTAGTTAACACAATCGCCTCAACCGATGCGTTGCGTTTAGTGAACCCGAGTCTTGTCGGCACCACTTTCTCCACGATTGTCTCATTACATATGTCTGGTTTGTAGCCCTAAAACATATACTGTATTGTTAATTATGTTGAACAAAGAAAGCATTATGATTATGATTTTGCCTCCTTCAGGGAGATTACTGTTGCAACTTAAGTAAGAAAATAATATAATATGTGCATTCACACGTAATGTTACGTAATGGTAATATAGCATTATACATTATTGCATTGTTCACTATTGCTTAACATAGTTCAGCAATATAACTTACAAGTTAGTTATGTATGAATATTTAATAAAACTAGGACTTACTCGGTAAGTGTCGCACACGTACTCGATCATGTTAGTAAATGCGGCTCGTTCATTGCCCTTGGTGTATTTGCCATCGGTGAGCACCCAGGGCACGTGTCTCATTTTGGGCCGCAATGCGTGCACTTTCCGGCCGTTAAGCCATTGGATGTTTTTGCCAAAAGCCGATTGCGAACAGCGCTCTAAGAATCGCCAATCAATATCCAACTGTCGGGCGCACTGTATGTGTGGGTATAAGACATGTTTTAAGCATCATTTATTCAACGATTTAATTTAATTTTTTAAATATATTTTTGAGTGGATGACTTTAATTTTGAATTTATATTCACAAATTATTATTTGTTTTGTTATATTGCACAATTTTATTTTATAATTTATTTATTTTGTTGTTGTAGAATATTTATTATAAACTATTTGAAATAAATAAATTTCAATTTCGATGGTAATTCTAGCGTAAAGAATGGAGTGATTTATTTGATATATTAATATATTTTGATGTAAAATATCTTTATATTATTTTTGTTGTCAAAAATATGTTTTAAAAGTACTTTTAAAATATAATAAAAACAAGGTTAACACCCGATGCTATACTTTAACCACAATTTGGTATTGCTCAAAGAATAGATTTACATTATTTGCAGATTTTATATGAATCCTATAGATTTGATACAGAATTAGCATTACCCATAGGATTAGCATTAGTCCCATAGGATTAGCATTAGTCCCATAGTGATTTCTTATAGACTTAGCAATACCTATGTTAATACTATTTCATAGACCAAAGTTGTGATTTCATAGAAACCCATTGAAAATTTTTCCAATATGATTAACACTACTAATAGAATAATATTAGTCCAATGTTAATTCTATGTCAGTGACATTGACATATTAACATTAGCCCAATATTAAAGTATAGACAAATAATTAAACTGTAATCCCATGTCAAATCCCATAGGTTGGGGCGAAACAATCCTATAAATAACATTATTCATATCTGAATTGTGATAATAAAAAAACTCATTTTCTGCGAAATAAAATAGTTTTCTTTTTTAAACAAAAATAATGACAAAAATATAAAACCCAATGTTTTTTTTCCAAAAAAATTCTGCAAAACAAGAATTCAATTTTTATAACAAAAAAAACATTTTATGACAAAATAAAAATAACATATAGTATTTTATCCAGTGTCGAATTTAACCTAAAAAGATGATGCCCATTCGTGGGATAGCGGGGACCCGGGAATTATTGTTATAGAATGAAAGTACATTTAATAGGTAGTCGAGTGAAATACTTCATATGTCCAAATACTTCCGGATCTGGCCGTAGTGACCATTTTTATCGGTAAAATTTTGAAAATCAAATTTTTTATTTTATAAATAACCATGTCATATTATATATCAATAGAAAGGTATGGATGAGAAGAATCGATATCCGAATAAACCCAAATCGGAAATAATCGATAAAAGTTATATAAAAATTAAGAAATTTAGCATCAGTTATGTACGTTTTTTATAATGAATAACGTAATTACCGAACATCATTTATATAAATTTTAATTATGCTTACGATGATAATTAATTTTGCAAATTTTAAAAAAAATAAAATTTTTTAATATAAAATTTTTGGCCCAGCACCCATTAACAATAAATTTTATCCTTTACTTTCTATTATATAAGAATATTTTGTAATATTGTGTTAACAAGTTTACATAGAATGTGTTATACGGGTTACAAAAATAATTTAAATCATAAATAATTATTTTTATTTTCTAGCGGTATGTCTAACACAGTTTTAGTTGTAATTTAATATAAAATATTTCTTTCAATATAACAAAATGTATTACACGCCGATTAACTAAAATAAATATGTTTTCAGCAAGTTTAGAAATATTATTTTTGATATTTTTTTATCTTAATGGCAAAAGACTAAATTTTGATGTTTGTGAGATTTGATTTAGCGACTTATAAATCATTAAACAATTTTGATTTACCATTATTAGCTCAAATAAAAATATATGTCAAATATGTTGTTGTTGTCGTTTAAGGACAAAGTTTAAGGACAAATCCTAAGTAATGCTTTCAAATATCAATTTGATGTACTCTAATGCAAAGTTTATAATCCCACATAACATTTAGTAAATAATCTTTACATCGAATTTTGTATTGAATATATTCTTGCTATAATCTAATTAATATTAACTATATTTTTTGTTTTTATGTAATTTCCCAAGAGCACATCAATAATTTAGTTAATTTTAAATTTTAATTTCAAAATATTTAAAGTAAAATTTAAAAAAAATAAATTCTTGTTTCTTATTAATATTGCATTATCCGTTAGTATTAATCTATTTGTACTAGATTATGTTATAACTTACGCAAGGGGCAGATATTTCCGGTTTCCACCATAAGTCATGTCTAAACATACAATCGACAAATGCTATGCCATATTCCTTAGGCAATGTCTTCAATGCACAGCCCTGTAGTAGTGATCAACAGTATTAATAATTAATTATTAATATTATATATTTAGTATTTTGCAAGGTACTGTATATTTTGTCATTTTATCATAAGGTTATGAAAACAATGTAACATCTTCACAGGGTATTTTAATTAATTGGAAACTTCTTATATGTTTATAAAAATGAATTATATAAAAGCATTTTTAGCATTGTATAAAACTTTCATAATTAAAGTCATACATAGTTTATGGCATTGTTAGCATAGCGAATTATTACATACTGCAAAATTAATTAAATTTGTTTTATGATAAAAAGCAATTATATGTTGAAAAAATTGTAATAAATGTAAAACAATGTTACGGTTGAATTACTTGAAAGTTTATTCTTAATAAATACAATAGTTATTTTATAATCCCGTTTATAAATTGATTTACTTTACTAAACTTAAATATGATTTGAATACAACTTCGGTAATTAAATTAAATTATATACGCTACATGAGTTATACAGCATATTTAATTTCATAAATAATTAATTAATATTATTTTAATCAATTTTATCATTAATTTCCATCATATGTAAAGCAATTATTATACACAATTCCATGTCTAACTTAAATAATAGCCCAATCAAATAACAATTAAACTATTAATACCTATCATATAAACACAAAGATTAGTTTGTAGTGAATAAAAACAAAAACGCGCTTTGTAACGCATTACTTTACATATAAAGTAGATTAATTGCTATAATCATAATAATATAAATATTTAAATTATATATAAAGTATCATTAATTAGTTAGCTTAAAATAATTTAATAAGCTAACATAAAAAAGATTAATAATATAATAAGTATAAACAATATGAGAATATACTATAGACTAACCATTAGGGCATTGCCTGAGCACTCGCGGTTTCCGTGTTGGCACTTGAACGCCATTTGTGGCGGCGGTAACATCGAGTAGTTGCCTATTAGTGTACGTGAGTTACCGTAGGGTATTAGCTCCAGGTTCATGATGGAGGACAGTCGCCGCCAGGCAGGTATCGCCTGCTCAATCACGATGGCCCGGCTGTGGTTGCATAGTAGCTGTATGTGAATGGTGATGTCCAGTTTGCACCCATTAGCAGCATTTTGGTGTTGGTGATTTAGGCCAATGATAAACACGGTGATGGTGCATATACGAATAGCCAGGTCACTAAACAGTTGTTTGTGAGCATTCATTTTAAGAGTTGTGTTTTATTAATTCGCCATTGATTTCAACACAACATATGGTTTTCTTGTGTGTAGTATTGATTAAAACATTTATTATATTTAAAATTTATTATTACTACTAAAAATTTAATTAAAATTTTGAAGTTTTATGTATACCCAATGGTATGTGATATGTGGTGTACCGTATATAACTTGTAATGCAATATGTATAACATTATTTTATTGTATTTAATGAATTTGTTTGTTATTACTGTACATGGACATTGATAATATAAGTAGAACTTAATATTTGTCAAGAAATAAATCTTTTTCTTTGTTATCGATTAAAAATACTCGGGAGA